TAGAAATATTGTAGAATTTAATAAAATATTAAAAAAAATGTTAACTAAAAAAAATTACAAAATTTTTAAAAAACAATTTAAAAATATTTCTGGCATGCTTTAATAGTATTTTCTATTGTTGTACCTGCAGCGCATTATAAGTAATTGGCCGCTGTTAATTTTGTTGTACTATTTCGAATTTGAGTTTTGCATATATTCTGAACTTTGGACCAGAAACTTTGGTTTTTTCTATAATTTTCAAACTATAAAAAAACGATTGAAAAACATTAAATTTTTCATTTCTTTTTGATATTTTTTTTACTTTTCTATTTTAAGTCATAAAAAATATTACAAACCTTATAAAGTTTTAATTTTATTTAATTTCTTTTTAATTTTAATTAGTTTTTTTTTAATTTTATTAACTTTTTTTTTAACTTTTCAGGCACGTATTTTTGAAATAATAATTTCGATTTTTTATATGCGCATATGATTCTGGAAAAAGCTAAGAACCCCGATTTTTTTTTTAACTTTTTTAAATTAGCCCTAAAATATATATTTTTAACATGAACGTGAACATCATGAGGAAAATATTTTAAATACTTTATTAAAAGGTGAAATTTTAATAAAATTTTATAAATTGTTTGACGTCTTATTTTTTTAATTATTATTTTAATTATTTTAATACTTCTTTTATAATAAATACAATTTTTTTTAGCAACGTAAATTTTGATTTCTTATACACGCATACTATGCTTTTAGAAAGCATTTAACAGGCTTCAAAACATAAAAACTTATAATTTTTACATGAACGCTATCAAAAAAATATTTTGAAAGTTTTGTTAAAAAAAATTATATTTTAATGTTTTAATTGTTAATGTCTAACTTAATGCCTGTCTCTTATACACATCTAGATGTGTATAAGAGACAGTGTCAACAAAGCAATTAAAAAGAGAATGAAAACGACACAGACAAAAATGAGAAAAATAAAATAAAATAGCAGCATTTTTTTAACAAATACAAGTAAACACCCCTTGCACACACACACACACGTTTATATGTTTACATATAATATATATATGTATATGTTATAGGAGTCGTGCTGTCGGTTTGTGTGAACGCCAGCAAAAAGCAGAAAAAATTAAGCAAAAAATGCAAAAAATTCAAAATATTGAGCATTCTATGCAATTTGTCTGTTTGACTTGCAAGCGCAAATGTTGAATAAATAAACAATAGTTAGTATAATAGCAAACACAAGCGTTCACGCACACACACACATACATATATATATTTATATAATTAAATATAATTTTAATGGCTTGCAAGCTGTATAATTGCAAACAATTAAATGATACATACACACACTTAAACATATATAAATCAATAAATTAATATATGCATATATACAAAAGCAATTAATTAAAAAAACACAACAACAATAATGTTAATAAACGTGAATACTACAAAAATTAGCATAAAGGCTATTCTTTCCTTTTACTACAACAAAAACAAAACTGAATACCTAACACTTCATAATAATATAAACCAATAAAAATTAAAAATAATTTAAACTATGGAAATTAAAAGATAATTGTAACGTTGACAAAAAACCTATACATGTATGCATATAAATAAACAATTTGTTGCAGTGTGCATACAAGAAAAATTATGTAAAAGTAAATGATGAAAACACATGAGAAAAAAAATATTAAAATACCATTTATTTAGTTTTTAGTATTTAATATATAAATAAAAAGAATTAAAAAAAATAGCAATCATGTGTACTTTTAAGTGGAACGAAAACCAAAAGTACTAAAAGTTGGCTGAAATGAAAAAAAATTAGCAAACAGCGTATACTTTAGTTTTCAGCACAAGGGTAAGTGTTTGGGTGCATGTTGGTGCTTTGTGAGGGTTAAAGCACGCGTGTGCAGCTGAGCTTCTAT